CTGGATTACTTCACAGAATTTGAATTCTTCTCATGATCTAATAATTTCCCCAAATATTTTCTGTATGTTTTAATTTCTCCTTAGCTACTGTATCCTTTCCCTCAGATTCAAAGTGTTATCTCAGTCCTATCTAAAATACAACAAATACCACGTTTCCTTGACTTCTTAACTCCCTATACCTAATGATCTATTTCTGTAATCTTCTCAAACCAGTCTTAATTTCTAGAAAAATTATTGTAACTTAACATTTGATGTCTCTATGTCTCATCACAATCACTGCTTAATCGATTATATCTTGAGTCCTGTTCCCAAGATTCAACAGAAACTTCTCTGAAAAAAATGTCAGAGATCTTTGAAATATTGCAGACAGTGAATAATTTCATCTTCATCTTATTCTATTTCTTTATTTCCTTTGTAACATTGATTATTCATTCTCAGGCATTATCTATTATTTTGACTACATAAATTCCCACCCTCATGAATCTCCTTACACTTGTCCTATAATTCCATCTCTAACATTTTCATGGTTGGGCAATCTACTTCTGTAGTGATACTGCCTCGGAAACTTTGTTTACCCATTTATCTCTTGCTATGCTTGCCTTGTTGTTGTTGTTATGTGCCGTGGAGTCAGACCCGTCTCATAGCAACCCCTCCTTGGGTTGCCGAGGCAGTATCACTACGAAAGTAGATTGATTGCCCAACCTTCCTTCTGAGGAGTGACTGGTGGGTTCGAACCACCAGCCTTCTGGTTAGCAGTCAAGTACCTTAGGTACTATGCTACCAGAGCTTCCATATGTATGTATATATATGTGTATATATGTGTACATATGTGTATTTGTCCAAATAGAGATAAATTTTATTTTATACTAGTGCAACTATGTCATTTATGATTTGTTACATTAATTTTCACTTAATAATTAAGGTTTGAAGTCCTTATATGCACACACGCATATACATACATACACATATAGATATGGGGAGTACTGGTGGCACAGTACCTATGGTATTTGACTACTAATCAGAAGGCTGGCAGTTCAAACCCACCAGCCACTCCTCAGAAGGAAGATAGGGCAATCTACTTCTGTAGTGATGTTGTTGCATATTCTACCAGCAATGGATGAGGGTTCCAATTTGTCCACATCTCCTCTAACACTTTTTATTTTTTGTTTTGTTTGTTTGTTTATTTTTAAATTTGATCATTCTACTGGGAGTGAAATAATATTTCATATGGTCTTGATTTGCATTTCTCTGATGGATAATGATGTTGAGAATTTTTTTAATGTATCTGTTGTCTATTTGAATGTCCTCTTTGTTGAAGTGTCTGTGCTCTTAGATTTTGACTGGGTTGTCTTTTTGTTGCTAAGTTGTAGAAGATTTCTATTTGTTTTGGATATTAGACCCTTATCAGTTATACCATTCCCAAAGATTTTTTACCAGTCTTTTTGGTCTCTTTATTCTTTGATATAGTCTTTTGTTGAACTTAAGTATTAATTTTAATGAACTCTCAGTTATCTGTTTTGTTTTCTGTTGCTCAAGCATTTTATGTTGTGTTTGATAATCTATCTTTGAAAAAAATTAAGTCCTAAATATTTGTTCCTATATTTGCTTCCAAGACTTTTATGATTTTAGTTTTAACATTTAGATCCTTGATCCATTTTGAATCAGTTTTGGTGTTTGGTGTTTTGGTGTATGAATCTTGTTTCACTTTTCTGCATGTGGAAAACCAGTTTTCCCAGTACCATTTGTTGAGGAGAGAGCTCATTCTCAATTGAATGACTTTGACACCCTTGACAAAGGTCAATTGATCATAGATGTTTGGATTGATTCTATCTTTTTTAATTCCTCCAGAAATGACCAATTTTATCTAAAACATCAAACTCACCTTCTAAATTATCAAAACTTACATTCTTACTCTTTCTTACAACATTGCTTCGATAGCCATCTATTTAAATTTTCTGTTTCGTCATAATTCTTATAAAAATCACCTGCCATATATCAGTGTGTGCTCATTTTTCAATCTACCAATCAATTGTTTTAAACAAAAACAACTTGCTAAATTGTTAAAGTTACTGTACCTTCTTCTTCACCTACAAATATTGACTACAATTAAGCAAACATAATCAATAGTTAATATAACAGCAGAAGAAAAATTTCACGAAATGGATATACTTTTTTTTTAATCTTCTGATTTTTATGTCAGTGTGTATAAATACCTTTCTACTAAACACAATTGTTATATTCGCTGATATACAAAAAAAGTTGTAGCGTATAGAGATGCCTTTATATTTTCAGAGATCAAAAACATCCCATTCAAGTCCATGAGATCCAGGAAAATGTTCTGCATTTGGCATAATACTAAGCACATAGTAAATTTTAAATGAATACCTTTAAAAAAATGATTCAAAAGATGAGAAACCAGAAACAAGGAATGATATGGCAAGAAGTAGGTGAAAGAGCAAGAGAAAATAGAAATACATTGGAGAACAAGGCACATATGGATAATTTTAAATTAATATATTCTGCCACTGAATAATTGAAAGTTCAATAACAATCTCATTAATTATAATGTCCAACTTACATTCTTATGGGATCATTCACTTTAAGACTGACTGATATTTTACCTTTAAACTATTTATAATTAAAATTTGCTAAGTAAACTAATAAAATACTTTTTGTCACCACTTTATTTAAAGTTACCCTTGAGACAATTTTTTAAAGGACTTTGAACCTTAATTATTAAATGAAAATGAATGTAACAAATCATCAATGACATACTTGCACTAGTGTGAAATCAAAGTTATCTCTATTTGGACAAATAAACATATCTAAATTCAAATTATTTCCTTTTTTTTTTAATCAGGTCATAGACAGGAACTTCAAATTATCTGCACTTCAGTGCAAATTGTATGTCTGATGTTACTGAAAAATCCTTATTGCTTATATTACCATCATCACCATGACCATCATCACCTCCCCCATCATCATCACAATTTTCATTGTTTTCAGCAAAATAATCAATGCCAATGGCATAATATCTGTTATGTGTCAGATATTGGACAATTGAAAGCATCTCTATGAAATATAAGTTCTTATCCAAGTAAGATACCTTATAATAAGGTATCTATCTACCTATAAATTACTTTATAATAAGGTAACTGATTTTTTTTTTTAATTAAGAGAATTAAGATGTTGTAGTTGTTAAATGGTAAAACCAAAATTATATCCTATGTCAATGTTGACTGTCAAAAGGACCTTCAGAAAACCCTGTTGATAAGCAAATTTTATTACACTTAGTATAGTCAGGCTGAATACCTGCTTGAATCTTAGTAGTGGCTCAAAATGGAGAAATTAAAGAAAAATATTTATAGGATATTATGGCTGTGTGATTTTATGGCACATCTTATGAAATGATGTAGTGATTGGTACTGGGCAGAATTTATTACATGTTAGTTTTAGATTGGTGAACACGTGAGGAACATGAGACAGATTTTGGTAAATAAGCTCGAGAGGTAAACTCTTAGGTTGATTCTTGTTATCCAAAACTGGATATAAAGTGGAGCAAGCAGCTAGGTTAGTTGTGCTTGATCTCAGTATTATTTGACATAGCAGAGGAAAAGTACTTCTGGTCCTAGAATTGTTTAACATAGAAAGTAGAACATATGACATTTGGAAATTATCCATCTGAAACTAGTAGGTGAAAATAGAAAATAAGACAAAATATCCTAAGGATATTCTGAAAAGGAGAATTAGAATGATGGTGTTTTCAGTTCTCAATTTTATGACTTCCAAGCTCCTCAACTACACCATCCTAACTTTCCATTCTACCAGTGTTATATTTCAAAGTAATCTGTTTTGCTCTTGGAAAGCTTTAATAAATATTTCTAATAAAATTTCACTTAAATTTGTTGCTCTGTTAGTAGTGAGTTATTGATGTAGGTTGGGTTTATCTCTCTTCCCTATGATAGCCTTCAGAAAGATACCTATTTTTCTATCTATCCATCATCTATCTATCTATATCATCTGTCTATCTAAATATATATCTTATCCTTATATGCATGCATCCATCCACACACATATCCTGTTGTAAGTCTTCTGTTTGCTAGTTTAAGTAATCATAATTCCTTCCAGTTTTCAGCTATATTTATATGTTAAATAGCATCCCATTAAGCGCTGATATTGATAATACAGAACATTGTTGTGGATAGGGTTAGTACTAGCATTCCATTTCTCCTTGGTATGTGTGCAAAAACAAAATAAAATAATTATAAAATATGTGATTCGTTTCTACCACTGTAAAACTAAAGGTCTGTTAAACTCTGTTATCAGCAGCATATAAAGCCATGAAGCAGTTATACCCCAAGCATATTTGAGTACTGATTTGAAGTTTTACAATATTTAAAATATCAGGCTGACTTTTATATAGGCTTTTCTAGTTGGTCATCATATTTATCAGAAAAATTCCTAACAGTTTTCAAACATACAATATAATATAAAAATAGAGAAGAGATTTCAGATATGAGTTTTATATTCAAGTTGTCTTACTCTACATAAAATTTGCCATTTGGGAGAAAAAAAAAGTTGGACACTCTCAATAATTACCTTTTTTAAGGAAGAAGCCATAATTTTGTGAATACATGTAATGTCAAGAGTTATACAATCTTACTCTTCTTTTAATTTACTAATAATCTGTGATGGCTTAATTAAATTAGAAGAATGACGTCCAACAATCATCAAAAACCTTAAAGCAATTTAGAGTCCTTTTGAATCTTTAAAGAAAATCCAATAAGCACTTGACAAACAAAATCAATGAAGAATTTTAAGTGTTTTTTTTCTAATTTGCCACAGGGTCCGAGCTTTCTCACTGAGGCCTTTTTTCCTAACCATGCAACAAAAATTGAAGAAATGGATCCTTTTTTCAACCTTCATGAAACCATTACCAAGGTAGGTTGAGGAATACATTCATGAATAGGGTGGGAGAGTATTCTTTGTTTTGTGTAGATAGATAGGAGAAAGAAATTATCAGTCAAAAGAAATCTGTATATTTTGATGTAAAGAATTTTAGTATCTCTTATTTTTTACTAAGGAGTAAAGATAATAAACAACTCATCCAAAATAATGTGAACATATATTGATAATTTTCTGCCAAAATCAATGTTTAATAAAAATTTAGATTTTTTTCCCTTAACCTGAAAGTAGATTTGTGACTTATTGTCAAATATACCCCTTCAGTTTACATTAAGAGCAATACAAATTAGATGTCTGAATTTCTGCATCTTGAAAGTTGTGTTTAAAAATTAAGAAAATTTTTCTTTGTGGTACTTTTAGTTGCAATATAAAAGGTGTCTCTTTTTAAGAAAAAGATTGAGTTAATAATAAAAGTTTTTATTTATGGTCAGAATATTTATAATTGTTTTCTTAGTGAGTGTTACAGTATGTTGAAAATGAAGTTTAAAGTATGGAGAAAATTAATGTTTTGACATCAGATAACATCATGTGATTTTTACATTTTCTAATTATCTGTTTAATCTGACTTTAGGTGATAGAATTTGTAGAGAATTATTTTCAGTCAGTCAAATATTCCAGATACTTATTAAGGTTCTTTTGCTTGTTCATTTATAGTAAAACATTATAGGATATTAGGGAAACAGTACTTTCTCCATTATTTCTGTTTTACTACAAATAAGTAAAATCAAAAGTTTTTGTGCATGGGGCAATTTCACACAATGTTGACATCAGATATATAATGGGATGATTGTGTCCTGCCACATGGACTCCTCAGCCAAGGAAAATGCTGGATTTTTGATTTTAGAATTGTAAATGCACAACTGATTCTGCCTGAGGTTTTGGGCAGAGCTACTAAGAACACGGTGGGGAGAGGAGATGGCTCAGGTAGGGGTTAGGGGAGCATTGACTATGGCCTGGACATATACAAGAGGTCAGGATTTATTATAAAGCAGATAGGAAATAAGTTATCATTAGAGAAAAGAGAAATTTGTGCACAGAAATTGGTACATATTCCAATCTTGCTCTACGTGTGATTTCAAATAGATTTAATATATAAACAGATATTTAGCTAACCTATTAAATAGTTGTTTAAAGAAATTCCACTTACACACACACAAAAATTAGAAACTGCTTAAGTGCAGAAGCAAGAGTTCTGTGACATTTTTAATGATCAACTATATTTGTTATGTCTACCCAATCACTTATGATGCAGACATAGGGCAAAGGAAGAAATCATGCTTTTCAAGTTTAGTCTCATTTCACCAGTAACAAACTGTGGCATCATAAAAACAGTATTAAATACATATATATATATTTTGCATTTCTATTTATTTTTACTTTGTGGTTTTCACCATATTTTCATATACAAAACAAAACATACTGCTTCAACAACTGCTTGTCCAATTCAGTAATATTGGTTACATTTTTCTAGTCATTTTGCCTTTCACAATAACTTTTCCAAATTTTCACCATCATTAAAACAAACTCACTGTCCCCTTAAAGTTCTTATCTATCCTTCCAAATGGTGTTGTCAATTTGATGACACATAGATAATTCTTTAAAAGAGTATAATATGCCCACTCCTGTGGCTGCCAGCCAAACAAAAGACAGGCATATAAGCTGAACATTTACATTAGGTAGATACACTCCTTGGAGATATCAATCATGGGAGATTAGAAAGGCTGTGTATGCATAGGGAGACAGTTCTGGGGCCAGGAATTCATGGGAGGGAAGGACACAGGGAAGAGGTAACTATGGGGAGGAACTGGGAACAAAGCTGTTGCACTGTGGGAAATTCCAGTCAATGTCATGAGTCAGAGTGTGTGTGAGCTGCTGTATGGAAAATGAATTTGCTCTGTAAACTTTCACCCAAATCACAACAAAAATTAAAAAAGAAAAAAAGCATAATATGCACAATATTTTAGTCCTCAGTAGAGGTTATTATAAATAATACATATTTACATTAAAAAGGCTTGCTGCTGCATTTTAATTAAAATGAGTAGGTATTTTTTTGCTATTATTATTATTATTATTATTTATTTTTTGCAGCTTTTTAAAGTCAAACATTCTCTCATCTACAACAAAATAAAATCTATTAAATAAGGAACTGTGGTGGTACAACAAGGAGCTCTGTTGGCTTAGTGGGTAAGACATTTATCTGATAACCACAAGGCTGTCGATTGAAACCCACCAGCTTCTCCATGGAAAGGAGATGAGACAATCCACTTCCATAACAATTTAGAGCCTTGTAACTATGAGTCAGAAATGACTGGATGGTGGTGGATTTTAAACCCGAAAGTTGACAATTTGAAGCCACCAGCTGCTCAGAGGGAGAAAGATGGGACGGTTGGAAATCCTATGGGGCAGCTCTACTCTGTCCTACAGGGTTGCTATAAGTTAGAATCAGCTCATTTATAATGGACTGCATTTTTTAATCTATTAAATATAGAAAAATTGAGTTTAACACTTGACTAGGAATTAAGGAAGATGAATTTAGTTTTATCTTCATTACCAGCTTACTACATTGTTTAGCTGCATTTCATTTTATTTTCTACATCAAAATGGAATATGTTCATTATACTCTTCCTCACTAGGTTTCTATGTGATTGAAAGAGATGATATATACATATTACTTAGAAAAGCATTATATATATAACACATTAAATCATACTAATCTATAATTCTTAAAGAAGTTCCTTACCTGCATTTTCTAAATTTTGTTGTTACTTCAAGGAAAAAAAAAAAAAAAAGAGTAACTAAAAACTTAGATATGAAAGCATATAACTAATTAAATGTTGAAAATACACTGATGAGGAATGTGTGAAAATTAAGTATAAATGTAATTTTTCAAAAGTTGAGATCTTTAGAAGACCTTATTACACTAAGCATAAGACTGGCACTAACAACAGCATATAAAGTATTTTAACAAAACAAATCAAAACCAATTGCTCATGGTAGTCCCATGTCAGAGTAGCACTGTGCTCCATAGGGTTTTCAAAGGCTGATTTTTCACAAGTAGATTGCTAAACCTTTCTTCTGAGGCACATTGGGTGGATGCAAATTTCCAACGTTCAGTTAGGAGCTGAATGTATTAACTGTTTGCATCACCCAGGTTCTCCCATGAAGTATTTAGTATATTTTCATTTCTCATAGTAGTGTGACATCAAATAATAATGGTGCACTTTGATTATGATGACCCAGGAGGGTAAAAATTCTGTCACTGTCAGGTCAAAGTAATAAGAAATATGAAAAAGACTTTGTAAAATGATAAAGCACAATGATTATATTTTCACACTATGTTCCTTTTAAGAATTTCCAAGAAATTAGAAGTAATTGAATTATTGGGGATTTGCTATTTCCTGTAATTCCTAATAGGAGCTCTGGTAGCATAGTGCCTAAGGCACTTGACTGCTAATCAGAAGGCTGGTGGTTCAAACCCACCAGCC